CCGATAGTCTAGAGATTATTCTGCGCTTCGGTTTCCACAACCACTTGCTTCTATTAATAGTTGGTCCCGACAGCAACTGGACGCATACGTGGGCGAAAAGGTGGCGTCAGGAATTTGACGATTTCGCTGCTGGTAAGTTTAACAATAGGAGCCGTCCATGAACCGCATGAATTCTTCACTATCCGTTTCCTCCTTTTGTTTCTGGCCGTGGATGTGGTTGATGGTAGTAGGATCGGTGGAGATGAGTTGGAGACGGGAATTTAGTCATCTTCGTTCCACTTGACGACGTGGTTATGAATTGATTAGAGGATTACGACTCCGTCCATTATTATTTTTAAACTATACATATGTTGTTGTTTTTTTCTGTTGCTGTTGATTGTTTTCGCTGTTATTTGATGTATGTGTTTCCCTTTTGTTTTATATTACATAGTTGTGCTTTACGATATCGTTGCTTATTTATTGAGAACGTTCGCGATACACTCTGACAAATTCGCGTCTTGACTGACATGTCATTAAATCGATCAGAAGAGTGAACCGTTCAAGCTTTTCATCCAAGTGATTGCGAAAAATCATGTCAGTCGAAAAAGAGACACACGGCTGAAAACCTTTACGTGAACTACAATCTAATACGTTGTAGTGGTTGGAGAGATTTCCTCCTCAGTGATTTGACCCTCAATACCTATATTCAACGATCGAGGGGTGGTAGTGGGCACTGACAAGGGAGGAGAGTCGACTTTCCTTTCAAAACAGTGAAAATTAATTCTATAACTAGTCTCTTTCTGCCCTTTTCCTACAAAAAAATGTTTTTGCAAACTGATTTTTCAAAAAAGCCTCAGCGATACCACTTGACATTTTTTATTAATCAGTTTGGAGAGACCACACTGAAAACCCTATAAATTTGTAGAAATTTATCAACTTTGGCGCGTTTTAGACGTAAAAATCCGAAAGGTTTTCTAGAAAACGCTTTTTCAAAACCCCTATACCCGCAAAAAAAGAGCACATGCGAAAACCTATAAACTTGTAGAATTTATCAACTTCGGCGCTTTTAGACGTAAAAATCCGAAAAGCTTTCCAGAAAATCCTTTTTGAAAAACCCTCCACATTCAAAAACTATTCCATAAGAAAGAGCGCGTGCGAAAACCTTTTTCGATGAGTTTTGACGTGACTGAATGCATTTAAAATCCCCAATGTCCGCCTACCTAGGCAAAATTGCCCACTGTGCGACATTAATCGGGTTGAAGAGAGATAAGATAGGTAAGTACTATGTTCTTAGCTAAAACCTGACCAAGCGAGAGATATTTTTTCTTTTTTCTTAAACTATATGAGGAGAGTAAGACAAAGGAGCTTTCATCTCAATACCAATACAAAGAAATAACAAAATAAACGGTAACAAAAATAAACGATAGTCTACCATCAATTAGTTTATAATATTTCGCAATTCCACGCACTTTCTCTGAAATATTTTCATCTGATAGTAATATTCCATCATGTAAATAATCAATTAGAGGCTGGAGTTCTCTTTCCGTTCGCTGCGCTTGTTTTATATCATCAAGGGCATTACAGCTATTCCACACATTTATACCTACCTCTTGTTGTGTGGAAACATTTTAATTTAGTTCGTGTTTAGCGTTCATATTTTTCGTCTGAAGCGGTGAGACGACTTCTGTTGGCTATCTAGATAAAGCATCAGCGTTTTGATTTGCCGCTCCTGAGCGATGCTACTATCATATCAAGCGCGTCTAATTTCATACCTCAGTGTGCTAATCGACTAGTTGGATCCTTTAACCTTCTAAGCCATGTTAGAGATCGATAATCTGTCCAGACTTCAAACGGCCTTCCTTCCAAATATGTAGGAAAGTGTTCAGTCCCCCAAACAATCGCCAAACATTCACGTTCAGCAGCAGATGATTTACGCACTGATTCGTCAAAAATGGGACTAGCGTAAACGATTACATGTTCCTCTCCGAGAGGAACATGTAATCGTTCCTAAAAGTAAAAGTGTAAAAGTTCCTCCAGATGGACCATCTGGAGGAACTTTTTTCTAACACGGCTTCTAATCCATAACCTCAAGTTGACAATAACTTATTCGTAGGGAAATAGTGATACAAATAATTATATACAACGTGTGCGAAAACTTTGCTGAGAATTGGTAAGAGTGCTATTAGCCTATAATTATTTGTACTAGAAGTCTTTAAATAACGGATTGATATAACCTATCTTAAAGACCTTCGGATATTCGCCTGTTTCTATTGACTGATTAATCATACTCGCTATGTAGACTAATGTATCTATAGATGATTCTATTAATAAGCATGATGTTATTCCTGGACTGCTTGCTTTGTTTATATTTAATTTACTTAGGATAAGTTCAACTTGAGTAGCAGAAACGACAAAAGGTGGAATTTTCTGTTGATACTCTTTAGAAATGGTATTGCTTTCATATTATCAGATAGATCTAAAGTACAAATGGACGCCAAAATACATATTCAATTTATCAGCTCTTTTGTTATCCTCGTATATCCACTGTCCACTCTGATTTTTAATGGAGGAATGCTTTCCTTCCAAGAGGAAAATCTAATGATTTCCATCCTTGTTTAGCAGAGCTACCCGTGTTGTTGATCCATTCTATATACGCGTCCTTAGTTTATTCACATGAATCTTGAAATGTCTTTGTTAAACAGAGATATTTATTACGCCTATCGTCGGTCTTTGCTTTAACATGTTGTCCGTATGCTCTGTTCGTTTTTCTTAACAACACAAATTATGTGTGATCCAGAGTTGATTACTATAATTTAATTCTAATAGTTTTATTTAGAATTGACTTATCAGCAGCTTTTTCTAACCTTCTGAAAACATTTCCGATCATATACTTTTATATATTTTTGTACTAGACACTTTGCTCTTTCTAACACAAAAAGGATAAAGTCTCTACGATGTTCCATTGCAACGCTATATCAAAACCAAAATTAATGCAGAACTTTGGCATCACCCGTTATAATAAGACGTTTAGGTTTCGAAACAAACGAAACACACTAGGTAACATAGAAATCGCTTTTCATTGAGAACTGAATGCATCTAAGCGTCAAAACTGTCAGAAATGGCAACACATTTGTAATAACATCGTGGATTAACAGAAGAGAAGGATTCAATTTTTAAGAGTTAGGCCTAAAACATATATGCTACGTTTCTGCGCTATTCCAGCGTAATTAATTGTATGATGTTTTTATGAATAGGAAGAAAAAGAGTATGGCAGTCTGAATTAAAGCAAACACGTTCTGAAGGTGAATAGAAAAAGTAAAAAGAAACAATCGACGAGGATGAGATTCGAACTCACGCTCCCAGAGGGAAATGGATTAGCAGTCCATCGCCTTAACCGCTCGGCCACCTCGTCTGATAAACTCTACATATGAAAAGTGTTTATTTGCTGTGTGTACAAACGATTGCATTTGTATTTCTATTGTTGCCCTTCGATAGTAACAATGTGTAGTTCTTTTTCTCGTCAAAACTCCTCATATTCTAATCAAAACTCTCTTCTATTCCTCAAGACTTGATTTTATTCCTTAAAACTCCATCTTTTCAGGACTTCAGTTCAGAACTCTAGGATGTACAGTATTTAGGCTGTTTTATATTCTGTTTAAAAGAAATCAACAAGAAAAAGTTTATAAAACTCTACGATTTTTCGAAAGGTTTTGTATTAAACCTCAGGACAAAAACATCATTTTTTAATTATTTCGGTTTTGTAGTCACGTCTAGCGAACAGAATTAACTATAACCTGAAGTTCTAAACTCGTCTTGGCTATGAAATCGCAAAAAACCACAGGTTTCCATCGCCGTTCGTTCTTGAGTTATTCAAAAATCACTGACCGATACATGAAAATCCACCAGAAGGGAACCTCTAACAGGTTCCCTCGGTGGAACTCGCACATGGGACCGCATTAGTAGTAGAATTAGCTTGTTGTTGTATTACCATTGAATTCCTTGGGGAAAGTTGCGTATCAAACTGGTTTTTCTGAAATTTTAATATACTATAGCAGAAATACACTGATTGAAGCGTATTTATATACACAAATTTCAAATCGTCGGTATTGTGAAAAAGCACCGGAGACCGTCAAACTTTTACCAGATATGCCTTGGCATATAATCGATTTGGATATATGGTTGAAAGTCTCATGGTCGAATTTATTTCAAATGGGTGCTACAGGAAAAGTCAAGGTTTTCTGGATCTGGGCTCTCAGTGCACCATTTATTACAAAATAACGAAAGCATGTTTTGAGCTCGTGGTTGCGCGATTTGTAGTTCACACTATCTACTATCTATGGTATAATCTCCAAGGTTAAGTAATCTGTTGTTACTGAATTACAAGAGTTTAAGGTTGGCAAATTTTCAAGAGGGCTTTTCGTAAAATTTCAATATCTCAGCAACGATATAACTTTTTGGATTTGCACCATTTACCAAAATTCATTAAAATATTTGGTCCACAAGTGCCCCCTAGTTTGAAACAGTTTTGAGAACATCAATTGAAGAACGTCAGCCGTGGCTTATGCGCAATGGCGCTTAAAGGGGTTAAAAACATTGTTGCATAGAATACACGTGTGTAGTTTGAGAGATGAAAATCACTTAATATTAATGTTTTTTATTATTTATTTATTATCAACATTGTTAACTGCAGACTGCGTTCTGATACTGGTAAGAGAGACTACTTCAAACATTGTGATTCTGCTACAGAACAAAAGTTCAACTTTTGACTTGATGCCAGAAATGCTGTCTGAATTTATATCATTAAGTATAACGACACATCTGGTTCAAACGATGGTTCCGGGCTACTTTACGAATTGCCTATCAGGGCTAACAGTGACATGAAGCGTATAATAAGTTAAGGAATCCCGGCAACTTGCCTCCTGGTAAGATACCTCCCGGACACTTAACCCCAGCGTTTTCCTTCCGGACACTTCCCTCCGCGGATACTTGCCCGCGTGGATAATTAATATCAGGCAATGAAGCTACAGCTTGGCTTGACAATTGACCGATATGATATCGGTGATATCAGTTGCAACAATGTTATGAATTTTTTTACTTGCCATTTTCGCTTCATTGGCCATTTGTGTTCTTGCCGCTATCATTTCAGCTGCCTCTGCTTTTGGCTCATGACTGTGTTCGCCGATTGATAAAACGACATTGTCGTTAATTATATGTATTCTTCCTCTGCACTGCCCATGGCGTTTTCGATCACAACACCATATTGTTTTATCACCCGATGTTTTATCAACAATATAAGCATATCCACCGTGAATAAAGATTGGCTTTCCTTTAGTGATTTTCATGTCTGTATTCTTTACAGTGAAATGTGATGTGACTATTGATAAGTTGATAGACAGTATCAACGAAAGCAAGAGAAATCGAATTATTATCAAAACATGTCTATAGATCTATCCTTTCTCTAGCAACATTTTTTTTCTACTACATTCCGTTCTCTTAGGAGTTGTTCGAATATTACATCATCAAATTTTCAGGCATTCTGAACCCCTTCCTCTCCCGTTGTAATCATGGACCAATCCTTCAAGGCGTCAAAGACCTGGCGGTTCGTGAAAATAATTGAGAGAAAACTGCTGTTCACACGAGGGAGCAAGTGTCCGCTTTGATTGTCTGAGGGCAACTATCTTGGTGGCAAATGTCCGAAGGGGCAACTGTCCCCCGCAAGCAAATGCATGGGCGACACTTTGCTGGGGGCAAGTTGCCGTTTACCTAAATGAAGACATTATCTAGAATGAATGGGTAATCTTACTGCATTTACGACAACAACAAAAATACATGTGGAATATTTTTTTACTAGACAGTAGTACGAAATAAACCGAAGAATAATCAGCGCAACAAAAAATGAATTGGTCGAATTAAATATGTGCCACTCTTTCATTCGTCGTTGATCGTCACTTTCTCTTCTTCACAATCGTTTTCATCATCACCATTATCGTCGTCATCATTGTTATCATTATAAATAAATTCTTCTAATTGTTGAAATGCTAAATTACAAAATAGACTGTCTTGTGGTATTTTTAATGTTTTTTCTTTTAATTGTTTTCTTATCATTTTTGATAAATTCATACTATAATACAATAATAGTACTTTCAATTTTTTTAATGGATATAATATAAATAAATCTTTATCTGTATATTCTTCTCTATTGTTGTTGTATGGATGGGATAATGATAATTCTTCCAGACTGTTAATTATCGATATACTTGTAAATGATGGAAAACGAACATATTCTAAGCTTAATATAGTTAAATTATTATATTCAGCTAAACTAATTAATAAATTATCCAAATCTTCTCTATTTATATTTATTTGATTAAATGATAGATTTTTTAGATTCACAAATTGTTTTAAAATATTTATATGTTCTTGAGTTAAATGAACTTCATATTCATCTTCGGTACAATCTGCTTCTCCCGGATATTGTATCATCATTAATCCATTATACTGGATATTTTTAGCGCTTATTTCTAATTCTTTCAACGTGTCTTTTAATGAAAGTAAATAATTGAAACCATTAATATTTAATTTACTATGTATAGGTGAAAATCGATGTGATTTTAATGAATTAATAGTTGGTATTTTAGATAAATAATATAATATTTCATTTGTAATCAATGTTTGTTCAAGATTGATATATTCTAATCGAGATGGAAGTGGAACAGTTGATAAAATTTTGAGATCATTGGGTAATATTTCAAACCATTCTAAATGTTCTAAATTAGAAAGTAATTTAATTGAATTTAATTGTTTTATTCTACTTATTTTGCATGTATAATTATCTTGACGAATAATTAATTTTTTTAATTTTGTTAAATGTTGAAAATATTTTTCAATATCAAATTCAATTTTTGCACTTGATTTAACAAGAATAAAAAAATGTGTTAAATTAGGAAGAAGATGTAATGAAGATAGAATGAACAGACAGGATGTAATTGGATTTGAAAGTTCTATATTTAAATTTGATGCTGAATAATGCTGTATAGCTAAAATTAATGTCTGTAATGTTTGGGAAATACAATAAAACAGATTCATTATAAATATTGGAGTTAATGAGATGAAACATAATTTAAGAAAATGTAATGATGTAAAATTAAATTGAAAATTTATTGATGTATTAATTGATAGACCACTTTCATATTTACCAATTTCAATTTTATTAATATGACGTAATATTTTAGAATTTGAAATAGTAATAAGTTGATTTTGATTTAATAACATTAATTTTGTATTTTTATTATAGCATAATTTATTTACACTCAATATATTATACCAAGTTTTACATGTAAGTGAAACTGAAATTAAAGATTCTATGGGTAAAAATTCAAAGATGAATTGATAACAAATTGAAGGAATTGAAGATGGATCGAAGGAAATAGATAATTTATTAGATGGATAGGTGTTTGATTTGTTTGATTCAGCTTCCATATCATCTAATTTTCTTTTCTTATTGTCCATTCTTTTGCTACTAAATTAAAAATAAATTTAAAAAATTTTATCTATAACAACAAATAAACATTTTTTGTTATACACACAAAAAATAATGTTTAAATTAAAAAGTGTGCTCTATCTAACTAGCATATTCAAAAACGGTTTCAGAAAATTTTCAGTATAGCTAGTTTTCTGAAAACTTCGGATTTTCAGACCTATTTGAACGCTGTATATGCACATCCTTAAATTCTGTATGTTACGAAAACTTTATACTAAAAATTGGCCTTTGTTCACGCGTGTTAGTTTAAAGTTATAAAAAAAATCCAAAAGAAAACGGTTACGTGACATTTTCTAGTATTTTCTAGTTTTCTTCCCTATAAAGCAATTTTAGTCTTTGTCATTTTTACAGGATCATCGGGTGGCTTGACTACACTTATGGTGAAAAAAGAAACTTTCTATCATGTTCGGTTGAGGCGTGATATAGTGGATGGTTAGGGGACAAATTGTCCGTCAAACATCACCTAGCGTTAGTAAAGCGTGAATTACACGGTAGAAAAATGATAGAAGTTTTCGCTGTTATCTATTCTACGTATTCTTATACCTTTGACATAAGAAAAATAAAGTCCGAATTCAGGGCTACTCAGAACTATGCGCTTACAGGAGAAAAAAATATCGGATTTTGGAACCAAGAATTCTGAACAAATTTGAGAAAAAACCCCAAATATTCGGAAAAAAGAATAATGTTGCAGCTGAATAGACAAAATTCTAGAAAAAAAGAGAGAAAAAAATATTATTGCACATAAAGCAACAGAGAAAAATACCATTTACAAAATGTGATTCATATGAACCACAACAACGTCAACAACAAACAAACGGTCAGATATAGGTGTTTTGCTTATAACTCGTTAATAGTTAAAGATAGAAAACCTATCTTTGCAACGATTATAGATCTAACATTGATGAGTATGTGCGAGAAATGCGAAATTGTTTCATCAAGTCTAAGAGAAGAAATCTTAGTACCATTGATCTCATACTATTTTTATTAGAATCACTCATATGTATCAGCACATGTAGAACAGCAAATTCTCGATGGCATTTATTATAAATTGTCTTTCGACATCAAAAAATGACATCAGGGTAGGGTGTACGCATTCCAAGGAAAAAGATTAGAAAAAAATTCGAAAGTTCTTAGAAAATTGCTGTAGAATATGAAAGCTATCACTACACTGCGCGCAGATATTAGCATAATTAGATAGAGCACGTCAGTGTATCATGAAGTTTCAGCTTTTCGAAATCAATCCTTCCAGATTTATAAATGTCTAAACTTAATGATACCGCCCGTCCTCTCCTTTTTTTGACCGTCTTTAAAACCGAAGAAGCTAATGTTTGGTCAGGGAGAATTTATACTAGAGATAGAACATCGAAAAACAAATTAGGTATATTCTTGCCCGGAATTGCCTGACATGTTCTTCTTTGAGTTTCTGGAAAACTCTAGTTTGCATCAGGTCATGTTACGATCCCTCAAAAAAATGGTCCGATCGAGGTGAGAATTTTACCACAGATACTTTAAACCATATCTCAGGTACATTCTTTTTTCTTTTCGAAAAATAGGCCTTCTTGAGATATTCAAAGAATATTAAACATCCTGTATAAAAAGCTGGTGTGAGATCCTGCTCACTCACTTCTCATATTTATTTGCATAAAGTGAACGGCTATATATAGTACACAAGTTGAACAACGGTTATGCAAGAGTTGCGCAGCAGTTGCGCAAGAACAGAAGGAAAGGAAAAGAAGAAGAGAACATAGTCTTATGAGCTACCAGGAATGGCAGATCATAACAGCTGGTTTTCTATTTTAAGAACCTTCTCACGCCAAAAGTTGAAATTGAAAACGCTTGAAAAAAACGGGCCCGAGATAGGCTCTGAAGTATGTATGGTAAAAATTTCATCTTAATCGGACTATTTTTTTTCAACGGATCGCAATGTAACCCGATTGAAGAGACTATCAAAAAACGCATAATGAGAACACATATTGTATACAAGGCTCTGTTTTTCAGTGCATTTGCGGTGATGCTTATATCTCCACAAAAACTCATTGGAAAATTCTGTAGTTGCTCTTTTGATTAAATAAAAACTAAATGTATTGTTATAACTTTGAAATAACCTTGAAATAAAATATATATACCTTTACTTTGTATGTGTATCCATAAAATGTGTAATGTTAATCACTCGATAAATGCACTTAAAGATAAAAAAACAACGTTGAATACGATGCAGAATAAAAACTTTTCTAGTTTGAAAATGAGTTAAAAAACTGTCGTTTCTTTTTTTTCTTCTGTTAAATGAAATACGATACAGCTCTTGGACCCATTCAAGACAAAAAATATTTATTCGATGCTTGAAAACCTGTAAGGTCAAAGTGGAGATAACATCAGTATACGTAACAACCTTACGATCTTTATTTCATACTCTCGGCTTTTTGTATGGTACTCATATGAATGAGATTGAATATATTTATCAAGACTCTCTCCGAGATATGCTCTTTAGAAAAGCATATTTGATTGTTTATGATGAAGGAAACTTCAAATTGAACTTAAGACTAACCCTAGGCCTTTTTATATGTTCTAAGCTCTTCACAGAAGTCGAAACAAAATCAATGAAAGTAATTGTAGTTCTTCAGCAAAACGTTCTGCCTTGGCAAAAAACAAAGAAATTTCTCATAAGATGTTGATCTTTCGTTAAATATCATGGTAGATTTTTCCTTGACGCCTTGAGTCTTACGAAATGGTTGTCCGTCTGTGTATGCGCAAAATACCAAAAAATGGCTGTCAGCTATTCCATGGATTAGATACTTATAAGGGAGAAAAACATTTTTAACGACGAGAGAGAAAATATTCAAAGAGATAAAGTGAAATATCTATCTACTAATGTAGAGAGAAAAAGGCTGACGCAAGCAAACTTTTTCTGTGGTCTGGAGGCAGATATCGCCAGAAGTCAGTCAACTTTGATAACACGAAAAAGTTGTCTACGGATAAGAAAATTTACAGAACATAGATAGTCTATCACAGCGAAACTATAAGGAATGCTTTCAATCCCCTTGGGATCTTCAGAGCGTGTCCGGCAGACTTTCTAGTTTTATTGCGCGCTTTCTCTTGAATTTAGAAACATTTTTAGACCTCTCGCAGTCTTTGGAGAGTCTCGAGAAAGCCTTTTAGATTTACATTAGATTACGCACCTTACACATCAAATCAGAGAAACATTCACAACATATTTTAGATAGTCCCAAGCGATTACCGACCAAAGGAATACGTAGGGACCTGAGTAGGTGCCGGACATTGGCGGGGGAGAGTTGTAACGAAAGTTTTTTGTCCGCGATAGTGTAAACTTTATTTTAAATAATTACCTTGTCACTGTTCTTTTAAATTTTTTGGGGGGGTACGCATGATTGTGATAAAGTATGGTACGTAAATAAAAAACTGGTATTGTCTTGTCTCATATGTATAGACACATTCTCTGTTAGCACAACGTGGTCGTGAAATAAAAACTTCATATCTATTGAACAAAGTCGGATGTATTCTGACCAAATTGTGTAAAACAACGCCGAGTAGTAGAATTTTCAGAAAGCAAAATGTAGTCATGGACAAAGGAAACTACTGTAAATTATCGAATCGACAAATAAATTTGCCAGCTAATCTTACAGAATAGATTGAACTATTACAATAGATATGAATCTTTTATTTGAAGACCATGATGTGCCACCAGAAATTGTGGTGTTAACCTATCCGATATTCAACAACTTTATTATTTGCCATAATTTCATGAATGACTGTAAATGATTTCTGTCAGGACACATTTGAAAAACGGTGAATATTTTTAGGGTGAGGATGAGGTTCAGTACAGTTAAAAACAGAATCGACTTGTTTTCTGATTACGTTGGACAGCATTGAACCCAAACAGATATTTTGAAATTATTCAGTTGGTTCGGATGAAATCGACTTGAGTTTTTAAAAGATGAGTCGAAACTTTTTGGAGACAAGAAACCCTAAAGAGGACCTTGACGGAGTCTATCTTTCCAAAAACGCACATTTACCGGCCAAGTCAGATTTAGTTTTGTAGACTATTTTGGGAAGTTTAAAACATTTTGCAAACCATATGGCCCTATAGAACAAAGAATTCTGAGCAAAACAAGATATCTCCTGGTGGTCTATAACGCTTTTTCACCCCACTGCGGTAGATTTACCAATGCCTACAAAGGGGATAAAAATTACCAAAATATTCCACCCCCACCCGACGATTTTATTCATCAGTATTAACAGGATGATACTTAAAATTTTACGAAAAAACGATTGCAGGTAAGAAAGGGTCGTTTGAAAATAATATCTTCTGGATCTTTTTGTTAAATTTTCTTAGATGGAAGAAATCTCTTTAAGATGACAAGTTATTAGATCACTTCCCGCAATACAGTGCACTACGCGAATTTTTATAACTAGCAAAAATAGAAAGCTGATATTTGTGGAACCATAAGGACTATTGATACATGCTTATCAGTATATGTGTCTTCAGTCCAGTCCACACGTAGCTCTGATAATTAGTCTTTAATGCTGAATCTACACAAAAAGACTTGCAAAAAGTGAGAAAGAAAACGACGAAAATTTGAGGCTTTTGAAACCCAAGCATTTTTCGAAAATTTCAATCCATTCAAGTATTTTCAAGTTTTCGACCAGAAAAAAATTTTCAACCATTAAAACGCATATTTTACTAGTACACTAGTTTCGTCGTAACGCCTAACAAGTTGATGTTTCCAACTCCTAAAAGCGAATTCTTAGAAAAACTCTGATTAGAGAGCATAAAGTGTCATATTACTCATCAATGTACGCCCCTGTGATGTGTAGGCCATAAGTATATTTTTCAAGTTGATGGAAGAAAGGATATTTAAAATCATATTCTGTCAACGCTTTTCGCTTCTTTCTTAATAATTTATTATCGTACCCGGTTACGTAGAACACAAAAACTATTTGATCTTAATTAATTGACTTGTGAAATGGGAAATGGAAAAATATAGAAACAGTCAACGAGCTTGCAAACTGGGAATGAGTCATCAAATACTACGAGAGAAGAACGACTGACTTCTAGTGCTTCAGCTTTCTAGAATAAAACAGGTTTGCTACTGTAAAAGTAGAATTAGGTAGAAAATTGTGTATTGTTAAGAATTTTACTTATTGACCTACATGACTAAAGAAAAAATTGCTAGTTTTTGAATTGTTTTGGCCTTATATGTCTAATCCATAAATTTTTAATTTCGTTTTCAGCTATTACGGAATATTGGCTGATTTACAATATGCCAGATCGATCTCCTAAATATAGTTCTAGTGAATTTATACTGCCCAACACCGATGCAACAATGCAAGATTTATTCTTTGATCAGCTATTTATTTACAGCAGCTATTCATTTATTTACAGATTAAATTACAGAAAAGTTTTTTTCTTCAGCGAATTTTACTCTTTGCTTCTTTCTGATCATATAACATAACATCTGCCATAACACGATGCGCACCAGCTACAGTCTGTATACTTGACACAACGTTGATAATTATTAGCATTTTCTTGTTTGATATAGCACGTTGACAATACACCCAATATTCGTTCATCAGAACATACTTTCCTTAATGAACAAAATAAATAACATTTAACAGACTTTGGTCAAAAAAGAAATTCAAAATTTAGAATGAACTTACAAGCAATAAGTAACTCTGCAATAGTCATCTACTCCTTCTTTAATCGAATTTATCAGTTTTCCCTTTATTATCTCATCTGCATTCACATTGAAAACCAATTAACAGTAGAAACATCAATGTTGTCATAAAAACAAATTTGGACGACATTTAAGGACTACAAAAAATAATGAAGTTAAAACTCAAGCAGTCTCCATTTCAAACTCGAGCACTCAAACTAAAGCCCACTCGTTCAATACTTTTATTTAGTCTTTTACGACGGTGTCTTCAATGAATAAAATATAGCGTTATAATTGTGTATGTCTATTGAATAGTAGAAAAGCTCGATGTGTGATTAAACCAATTACTTACATTTGTAAGAGAAATAGTTAACGAAAAACTGAAAAATAACTTAAAAGCTGAGTGTGTGATGCAGTGAATATATGTCAACGTCCAAAGCCCGATTCAGGCCAATCCTGGATTGGCCTAGGCGAAATTAAGATCTTAGTTTGACCTAGTCCAAAGTCCGATCTCACTTTCGCCTAGCTTTTTTCTAATCCAAACTAAGATCTTGATATGATTCCTATATAAATGAACATATAACCTCGAAAGCGTTCATCCTCATTCCTATCGAGTTTCTCAAGTATATCTTGGTCTAGTGCTTTTTCAGCAATAATGCCTGTAGAAGGTTTATTGTTGTTCTTCGACTGATGTTGACTGTTATCAAATCCCAAATAGCCCCAGTGTCAATTAAACGATGTATAACAAGTTGAAGCTCTTTTTTTTCATCTCCTTCATCTGTGTCAATAGGCAGTTGATTTTCACATTTATGCATGTAATATACAACTTGAAAGCTGCGAACCAGTACCCAGGTCCAAGAAAACGGCACCGTTAACGGTCCGTTAACTGGTCGTTAACGGTAAGTTAACGTGCCGTAAACGGACCGTTTTAGGGTCTTAAACAAATCGTTTTTTCACCGTTTACGGATCGTTTTCTAAACATTTTCTTACCATTTACTGGCTATTTATTGACCGTTTACTGGCCGTTTTTTGTTGTTTTGAGAACGGCCGTTTTTTAGAAGTTGTATTAACTCCTAAAAAATTTTCCTCCGACTTCGTGATATTGACTTATTTGTCGCATCTACCCTTTCTCACTAATCGACCTAATCTAGGTACTAGACTATACACATCATCTAACGCCACTATAATTTTTTTCCTTACTTGAAAATATCGAAATTCGAACATCAGAACTTGTGTTTGCCAGTCTGTCACTGTAACTATATGGCCATGAGTATATTTTTCAAGTTGATGGAAGAAAGGATATTTAAAATCATATTCTGTCAACGCTTTTCGCTTCTTTCTTAATAATTTATTATCGTACCCGGTTACGTAGAACACAAAAACTATTTGATCTTAATTAATTGACTTGTGAAATGGGAAATGGAAAAATATAGAAACAGTCAACGAGCTTGCAAACTGGGAATGAGTCATCAAATACTACGAGAGAAGAACGACTGACTTCTAGTGCTTCAGCTTTCTAGAATAAAACAGGTTTGCTACTGTAAAAGTAGAATTAGGTAGAAAATTGTGTATTGTTAAGAATTTTACTTATTGACCTACATGACTAAAGAAAAAATTGCTAGTTTTTGAATTGTTTTGGCCTTATATGTCTAATCCATAAATTTTTAATTTCGTTTTCAGCTATTACGGAATATTGGCTGATTTACAATATGCCAGATCGATCTCCTAAATATAGTTCTAGTGAATTTATACTGCCCAACACCGATGCAACAATGCAAGATTTATTCTTTGATCAGCTATTTATTTACAGCAGCTATTCATTTATTTACAGATTAAATTACAGAAAAGTTTTTTTCTTCAGCGAATTTTACTCTTTGCTTCTTTCTGATCATATAACATAACATCTGCCATAACACGATGCGCACCAGCTACAGTCTGTATACTTGACACAACGTTGATAATTATTAGCATTTTCTTGTTTGATATAGCACGTTGACAATACACCCAATATTCGTTCATCAGAACATACTTTCCTTAATGAACAAAATAAATAACATTTAACAGACTTTGGTCAAAAAAGAAATTCAAAATTTAGAATGAACTTACAAGCAATAAGTAACTCTGCAATAGTCATCTACTCCTTCTTTAATCGAATTTATCAGTTTTCCCTTTATTATCTCATCTGCATTCACATTGAAAACCAATTAACAGTAGAAACATCAATGTTGTCATAAAAACAAATTTGGACGACATTTAAGGACTACAAAAAATAATGAAGTTAAAACTCAAGCAGTCTCCATTTCAAACTCGAGCACTCAAACTAAAGCCCACTCGTTCAATACTTTTATTTAGTCTTTTACGACGGTGTCTTCAATGAATAAAATATAGCGTTATAATTGTGTATGTCTATTGAATAGTAGAAAAGCTCGATGTGTGATTAAACCAATTACTTACATTTGTAAGAGAAATAGTTAACGAAAAACTGAAAAATAACTTAAAAGCTGAGTGTGTGATGCAGTGAATATATGTCAACGTCCAAAGCCCGATTCAGGCCAATCCTGGATTGGCCTAGGCGAAATTAAGATCTTAGTTTGACCTAGTCCAAAGTCCGATCTCACTTTCGCCTAGCTTTTTTCTAATCCAAACTAAGATCTTGATATGATTCCTATATAAATGAACATATAACCTCGAAAGCGTTCATCCTCATTCCTATCGAGTTTCTCAAGTATATCTTGGTCTAGTGCTTTTTCAGCAATAATGCCTGTAGAAGGTTTATTGTTGTTCTTCGACTGATGTTGACTGTTATCAAATCCCAAATAGCCCCAGTGTCAATTAAACGATGTATAACAAGTTGAAGCTCTTTTTTTTCATCTCCTTCATCTGTGTCAATAGGCAGTTGATTTTCACATTTATGCATGTAATATACAACTTGAAAGCTGCGAACCAGTACCCAGGTCCAAGAAAACGGCACCGTTAACGGTCCGTTAACTGGTCGTTAACGGTAAGTTAACGTGCCGTAAACGGACCGTTTTAGGGTCTTAAACAAATCGTTTTTTCACCGTTTACGGATCGTTTTCTAAACATTTTCTTACCATTTACTGGCTATTTATTGACCGTTTACTGGCCGTTTTTTGTTGTTTTGAGAACGGCCGTTTTTTAGAAGTTGTATTAACTCCTAAAAAATTTTCCTCCGACTTCGTGATATTGACTTATTTGTCGCATCTACCCTTTCTCACTAATCGACCTAATCTAGGTACTAGACTATACACATCATTTAACGCCACTATAATGTTTTTCCGTACTTCAAAATATCGAAATTCGAACATCAGAACTTGTGTTTGCCAGTCTGTCACTGTAACTATATGGCCATGTCGGTTCGAAAACTAACACTATCAAAGTGCTATTCAAGCTTGCAAGCTGACGTACTACTTTACCATTTATTCCAGTGCATCTACATAGTGTGAAATATGATGGAGGAAAAACGAAAAACACACACATATTGAATTCTTTAAACCGTAAACAGGCCATTAACGATTAGTTAACGGACTGTTTTTAGGCCGTTTTTCACATACATGATTATAGATGCTTTTGACCGTAAATAGGCCGTTAATGGCCAGTTAACGGACCGTTTTCAGACCGTTTTTTTGGACTTCATGCTAAAGTGATTTTAGAATGATTTGGTGGTAGACCGAACGTTTTTCTACACGCTCACATAAAAATCTTTTGAAAATTTCCGACCAGTTTTGAGCCAAATTCAGGAGATAATTAGTTTAAAAATACCTCATTTCATAGCCCCGGACTTCTCTCTATGTACCATATTGTTTTGAGCTCATTATCATTTAAAGTCGTTCAGCTAATTAGCATATAATCAACAGAACTAGAAATTCTTTTTATGCTCTGGTGTAAATAGAGACACTCGTGTAATTGTGAAAACTACGGAAGATAACACCAAATTATCCGACATATGTCCCATTTCAAGGACTCATATCATCTTGTATATGCACACTATGCCAATGTCGCAATTCAACTTGTGACTTCCACAAAAATTGTTATAAGCCTCCGATAAAGAAATACTCAAAGTCGCCGAATGCCTCATTTTGTAGAGAAATGTTTGGATTACAATCGCCTATACATAGAAATATTTCGAAGTTATCTGTAATGCTCACATTTTTGTTAGAAATAGCTTCAGATTTCTTTTCACAGCCGAGTATTCAAGAAAAAACATTTCTCTACAAAATGCGACGTTCCGCGACTCTGAGGAATTCTTTATAGGCGACTTAGAGCAATTTTCGCTGAATCTCGAACAACAGTTTTTAACTGGTGCATGCCTACTGCTGTCCACAACTTCATATCATCTTGTATATGAGTCCTTGAAATGGGACATATGCCAGATAATTTGGTGTGATCTTGCGTAGTTTACACGATTTTCAGATGATTCTTTTTGCATTCGATAGAGAACATGCTTATGTAAGCCATAAACAGAAGATTTTATAAAAACTGTCAGTCTCTAGTTATCATAATTAATTCTGAGTTTAATTTAGTCCATAAAATATATTTAAATTAATATCCCATGTAGTGTGAAACCAATATGATCGCAAGCTTTTCAGATAAAAAACGGCCAAGAAATAGCAAAAGTGGTGAAAAATTTCCAAGAGTGTCTCTAATTACCCCCAAGTACGCTATGTGTCATGAAACATTCAAAAATCATTCTAAAATTGATCTAGCATAAAGTTCTAAGAAACGACCTAAAGACGGTCCATTAACTGGCCATTAACGGTCTATTTACGGTCAAAAGCATCTGTAATCATGTATTTGAACAACGGCGTAAAAACTATCCGTTAACTGCCCTTTAATGGCCAGTTAATGACGAACTTCTGCGTGAATAATAAATAGTCTGGAAACGTTCAGCAAACGGTCAGTAAACGGTGACCGTTAACTGATCGTTTTCTGACGATGGACGTTTTCAGACGATCTTTGGATCGTGAAACGGCCACACTAAAAACCGCAAGTTAACGGCTTGTTTACTGGACGTTTTTTTGCCGTTTTCATAACGTTAACGCGCCGTTTTTTGTGTGACCATTTACTGGAGATTAACGGGCCGTTTTTTTAGACCTGGGTAACATATTTGTTTATATCGTTGAAGGCCGACCGATGGATTTATTGAACAATGAAAAATGTAGAATTCTGTTTCAAAATATTTAATCGCAGTTTTATGATATTCACCATGAACAGATAATACACCCATGATTTCATATATATCACACAATCCTTGAGAATCATGGGGTAAACAACTGATTTGTAGATCAAGTCCTCTTTCCATCGAATCGAAAGCACTGTCTATATCTTGTTTAAACATATAAATCAAACCTGATCGAAGATGTACTTTAATGCATAGATCATAATCAAGATAACACTCAAGCATTTCTTATACCTCATTATGCCTTGATCATAATCAGAAATGTTAAGCAGATCGTTTTCAGAGAGTTTTCGATGAACTGTAATTGTGAGTCGATAATCACTTCTCAAATTATCATTATAGCATTCCAAGCATTTGTAAGATCTAAACAATCTAACCAATGGCAGTGCAATTCCTGAGAATCATAGTTCGCTTGAAGATATAATGCAACTGTTACAGATTGATATTCATCATCTAACATAAACGAAAGATACGTTATAACATTTCTAATGTCTTCTAGGGCTCTCCTGCTTTCATTCAAACCCTCATCAATGATGATCATTACTGCCTTCTCTAACTGTTTAGATAGCATAAGCTGATGCATTGTTTCTATTTTCTCGATTAGCTGTATAATAAAGTGCAGCTAATTCAAAGTTGGTGCAGTATTGTATTTTTGAACTTAACACACGTATTCAGATAGAGAAGAGCGAGCTGATTCTGAATGTCATATTGAAAATCCCATACCCTTTTTTCGCGGTGAAAATCGCGAAACACGAAAAAGCGCCATCGTTCAGTGAAGTGACTCTGTTTGTTTCCCATTATATTTCGGAGCTTTGAGACCGCTTTTTCCGGATGTTTTCAAGATTAAGTTTCTTCTGCATGAGCTATGGTTTCTTCCCACAGAAGTCGGTATTTAATTTCATTTCTTTTAGTATTTCGTTCAAATTTACGCGAGAAAATGTATGTATACAATGTATACATACATTTTCTCGTGCATACTAATAAAGTCAAATGAATGGTAAGATCAAAAATCATATTATTACATATTCAACTCACAAACTATATGAAACACATATGTACAAAATAAGTGTTATTATTTCGATATTGGCCATATTTTGTTTAAGTAAGCGTCTTTTAATACAACAAGTGATTCTACAAATTTCGGATCCAGTTGAGATCTTTGTTCTGTAACAACTTGTCCAGCCACCGAGAAATGTCGCTCAGATTCAGCTGAGGACGCTTGTATAACAAAACAAATTTAGCTATTTTGGATAGAATTGATAAAGTTTGCTGTTGTTCGCGCTAAAATATTAATGGATTATAATCTTCAGATAACTTATATGATGTATTTTCATAAATTTGGATTTGTCGTTCAATGTCAGTGATAAATGAATTTGCTGCAATTGTGATTAAAGAGGCTGTTGCTCATTCACCACGCATTGCTGCAAAGGGATCTTTTTTCTTTTTTTTGTTGGTGGTGAATTAATTTCATGTGATGATGCATTTGCCGATAAAATAATATCCTTGCAATCCTTAGCCAAAATAGGAATACTATCTTTGATTAATTTCTTCTGTTCATCTAAATATGATGCATCTGTAACAAACAATAAATCTTTAAATGTTAGATCAAGATAAGTTGCGATCCAGTGCAATTGCGTTGTTGATGTCCAATAAACGAATATGCACAGCTTTGTGAAACCGGCCAAAACCAATGAAAACCGGCCGGTCCAACTGACTCAACCTGTCCGGCCGGATCGCACCGGTTACAACTCTGGCACAAGTAAATAAAGTTAAGTGAATCTTTTAGTGTCAACTACGTATTTATGGCCGTTATTTACGATAAGGATGTTTTGTTCTGGAGTAAGATTGATTGATCCTTTTAGAATGAGTTCAGTAGTTTGTGGTAATGCAGTACTCTCTAAAAAGAAAGGTACTCTACCGAACCTAAAAAGGGTTCAAGCTTCTATCACCATTTATAAACCTTCTTAAGATACCGTACAAACAAAATACCTTTTTGAGGTTCGTACAGCACCTTAAATCCGTCACTGGAAAAAGCTTGTATAAATAGAGTTCCCTCAATCTAACTAAGCGTTTCCCAGTCACGGATTTAGGGTGCTGGTGAGGTACATAGTTCGTACGAAACCTTAAAAAGGTATATAGATGGTGACAAATGTTTAAACCTTTTTTAGGTTCAGTAGAGTACCTTTTTTTTGAGAGAGTAATCGATTTTATATTATTCAACAAGATAGATCGTTCCTGGACAAAGCGAAGGCATTTTAAAAAAGTAATGCTCAGCTGTTTCAGGCTTATCACAGTGACTACAACTTGGTGTCGCAACGAAGTGACGTTAATATTGGTCTGTTAATAGAAAGTTGAAGCATAGACGTATACGGGTCAGATGGGTAATGTTTATCCGACTTCCTATACTGTGGCCAAACTGGTGGACGAGATGGAAAATTTAGGAAACTTTTCAATTTTGTAGAGAAGTTCTCAGTATCTGTGATGGATCGTGTTTCGTAGGGCAGCTTGTTCCAGTCATGTATAACGTTCACTAATGCTGATCTATCTACAAAAGATGTGTTGGATGTTGATGGAACTATATCTATCAGTACATAGTGATGCATCTGCCTAATATTTGTGTCTCTTTTTAACGTAACTAGACTCCTTAAGTAGGAAGGAGACTGCTTGTGTATGATTTTATGAATTAATTTTAATTTAGAATATTGAATTATTTCTCTAACAGGTGGTATAACGAGCTCATTTTGTAACTTTTCGATGCACGTACCACGACACGCTCCGGATATAAGCAAAAACGCCTCATTTCGAAGACTTTGCAATCGATCAACATTAGCTTTAGTTGTATTACTATATAAAACCAGTCCACACTCCATAACGACCAAAATATACGTTAAGTATATATGTCTAAGAATATGAAGATAGAAGCAATTTGAGGTAGTCTATAAACAACAGGAACAATGGGTTTTCTAGGCAGACCAGAAACAATAAAAAACACTTTTTCAGTCAACATAGACAAAATATACCGTCTGCATTCGGTAACATCATCAGATACTTTTAAAAAGTCAATCCTTTTACGCAATTGAGCAGGAGTTTCCTCTTAATAAGCATTAGACTGATTTACATGATTAGCATCAAGCCAAACTACTATAAAATTGATCTTGTATAACTCGTTACGAACATTCATCATACTTTTCATTTCGAACACCCGGACGACTTTCATTCCAAACATCCAAAAACATGATTTTATGCTATACAGACCCGATTCCCAACATCCCATTACTTGTCCGGAAGACCAAGGACGAAAAGGGGCAGCCTCTGAAAATGCTCTGCAGCCTTGCTTCGGATAAAACCAGTTTTCTTCAAAGATGAACGCACCAAGACACAATGGTTCAGTATACCATATTCCATTCGGGATATAAAAACATATCCTGATCCGGCTATATCCCGAAGAGGATATATATTATAGCCCAATCGGGATATTTATCCCGTTTTGAATCACAATATACTGTCAATTTTTCTGAATAAAAATTCATTAGCGAAAAAATGTTCGTTCTTTGTTCCGTATTCATTCAGTGCTTTGATTTCGTGATGATATCGCAGGTACTTTGAAAGAAAAGAAGCAGCGACTTCAGTTTAGATCGTGTGTGTGATTTTATTATTGAATAGGATGGGCTTCCGAAGCACCAGTGGGTCTTCCGATGGTGAGAATAAACTCAGTATATCCGATCCCTATGTCAGTGACCTATTCTCAATATGGTTCATATGCGCGCTCTGAAACGAAAATCGAGAAGTGCAGTTGGAGGTTGAATTCACTCTGGTAGGTATTCTTCATCGTGTTTGATCAAATATATAGCTGTAATGCGACATTGGAAGATGAGTGAGTTTTGGGGGAATGTCATCAGAATTCACTACATTCATTCGAAACGGAGGTCTTTTTTAGAACACCTTCAAACTGATGAGTGTAGAAGTGCAGTGCTATTTTGACTAGATGGCTGTCTATCGAATATCGAAACCAAAACAAAAATGCCTCTTCCTCTCTAGAATACAACGTCGGCAATGATATCACATCGCCATATCATCACGTCCAATCCATGGCTATGGGCCAGATGCAAGGAGGGAGAAGACAAAATATAACTTAGAACAGAGAGGCATTGCATACCGAGAGCCTAGCGGGGCTGTTCGCTATGATAGCAGCAGTTTTTTTATTAAGTAGATGTGCCAAAAAAGACAAAGCGATATCTTATAACTTAACAGTCAGAGAGATTGTTTGACAGATTTTTCTTCATCATTGGCTTTGTTAGGAACAAACTCTGTATCTCTGTTTTGACGTTACGTGGTATCATTTTCGTAACTTGAAATAAAAACTCAAAAAATGTGTGTCAGTCATTAGTCGTGTAAATAGAGTTTGTGTAAATTGACAGCAGTTCTGTTTTTCACCTCACCTGACCAGCAATAATGCAGAGTTTTCACTGCTAGGGAATCTGTTCCCAGTAGCGCCGTATCTATGGGATAGCCATGAGCGTACTCATAATCAAGTGTTGATTGAATCGTGCCATCTGTTGAAATGTGAATCAATCGTCGACATGTATCACCTGTGTCAGTTACTAGCCATCCCATAATCTTCAAAGAAGCGATAGAGTCGTAAGCTAATGTGCCGCCACTAAATTTCATTGGAATCGACCAAAGTTTTTCTAACCTTTTAGCTGTTGAACGAACTTCGATGCGTGATTGAACTTCGTAATTATTTTCGTTACATCCGCAGTTAAAAATAATAAGAGCCAGCATATCTAAATTATAAGCCATGCGGCTGATCGACTCATCTTTTTTGCAAATATGAAACCGACATAGTTCAAGGTCGGCTAATTTGTATTGATCCAAAGCAGTAGAAACTCTTTGTCCTTGCGACAAATACAGATGTGTTTCTGAACAAGCGCCACTTCTATATCGTCCATCGAGTATCTTCTCGATTTTCATAGTACCTGTTTCGAGTGTAAATACACCCGACTCTTCATTTTCTGAACAGAGTAAAATGAATTTTTTTACAGAGTTTGCATAACATATCTGGCTCACGTAACCGTAGTCCCATTTTACCCGTTGTTCAGCACGAAGTAGATGATCGAAAATATACAATATATTCTTTTCATATAATAGCAGCTGCTGTCCGTTTCCAGTGACAGCCATTCCGCAATAAGAGTAACGTTCATCGAAATATTCTGATAAATAAGGTGCAGCCAAGCGTGATATATCGAACGGCGTTGCTTCCGGAGGTAGGCAGCCAATTTGAATGAGGTCCCTGCCAATTACTAATGGACGAATATGGACCAACGACTGAGCTGTTTCTTCTACGATAGCCTGTTTTCGAATTCTGTCGATATCTTCTGATATCCAGTCGATGTCATCGTTCCTGGCACCTTGATTTTCAGTCAGATCTCTTACGTTAAGTCGTAAACGTTTGATTTCTTCTCCTCCTTCAGCTAATGTTTCACTGATAAATTCTTCCAGTCCCTGATATGTTTGCTCATAATATCCGTTGACTATGCGAATTGCTTCTTGTCTCCACGCTTGCAATTTGGCACCCTCTCTTTTCAGGATAGATGGTCCGTCTATCTGCGAAAACTTTTCAGCAAGACTATTAATCTCATTTACGAGCGGATGGAGTTGATCATTGAGAACATCGTCATGTTGTTTTAGATGCACAATACACAGGTTCTGCGAACAACAATGGCAAAGTGCTCGTGACATTCGCTTACACTCTTTTACAGTACACAATCTTGAATCCATTGCCGAGAAGGAACCGATGCCATTTGGATTGATAAGATTCACTAAAGATCAAGTGTTCGTTGTGAAAAATTGTTCTACGTGAAAACCTGCAAAATTGTATTGAGATAGAGGGGAGAAACGACTCGTGTTTCCTCACTATTTGCTCCGACGTCATAGAAAAATTGTGCCTCTTTTTCTCAACCAAAACAGATATGAAAAGAACAGATATGAAAATAAAGGTCACATATATGCTTAGTAGAAAAGTTCTCTTTTACTCCACACCTGGGCCTTTATGTTAACAAGAAGCGAGGCTGTCGCTTTGTATCTCACAGATAAACGCTACGTCGCAAAGATGCAATTCTTAACGAGTACTTTATCTTTCGTACACTTTGGTGTAATTGTTTTCACTGTTAGAGTTAGACACTAAGAAATAGATTCTTAAAATGAACTAAAAACCAACTCAAATCAAATGTAAAACGTCATTCCTGTTACCACACATCTTTGATTAGTTACCTTGTGAAAAGACCTGTTATTATCGTAAAAATAACAGCAAGTAAATGTGTATATAATTGCACAGATAGAAAAAAATATATGTCTTACGCCAATCTTATATTCAGGTCAATCTCGGATTTGCCTGAATCCAATATTGGCCTACGACAGACATGTATATCTATCAAGGGATAGAAATCGACAAGTTTTGAAAAATGACTCACTTGTTCGAGTTTTAAAACGAAATGGAAATGAGAGTATTTGTCCACTGTTGTTTTTCGATTCATGGAGATAGAGCGAAGAAAACTTTAGTTAAGTCTGAGGCAGCTTGTTATATGCTAAACTTGTATGTATTATTTGTTTTCTCTCTTTCATCTTAATATTAAAACCAGTTTGCACCGCCGTCCGTCTATACATCGAAGATACACATGCTATTACGTTTTCTTACCTTTCTTTCAATGCCTCTTTCTCTTTCTTCTAATATAAATGTATCATGTTGACCATCAACACCTACTATACTCCATCTAACTTTGCCTTAAATTAAAAAAATTAGATAAAAAAACGAACGACGAAATGCGCAGGGCTCAACAGAAAATGCTCAGAACTGAACGTTGCACTGTGTCGTGGCCTAATGGTCATCCTTCGGATCACCTCAACCTTTTGTTTTCACTCGAGTAAAGGGTAGAAATACATCATTAGACGCAGTTTTTCGCACTAATTACGAATCTGAACTAAAGAACAAATGAAAGTTAAATCTTTATAGTGATAATTTAAATTTAAAAATGTTTAAATTTTATGTTTAATTTCCTGATCTACATAATTTCTTCGAAAATTTTGGTAACCATATCATCAGATAGAGAATCGGATTCTCTACAAAATAAGTCATTGATTTTTATGTCTGGATGCCAAAATTTTTGGAGTTTCTAAAAGAGTTCTTGACGCTTGTTTGGTGAGTCATTTTCTGTCTGTTTAATCTGATTTTGAAACTTTATTTTTCGCTGCATCGGATAGAGACCACCTCAAACTATCTATCTATGTGCAAATGGGAGCTTGATAGGTGGTTCTGTGGCAGAAAAACTATATATTAAACCAGCAAATCATACAAAGCAAAGCAAAAAAAGATGAAATTCCGTGACGCTCATTCTTTTCGATTTCTTTCCCAAGGAACTAGTTATACCACCTCTCCCTCCTGACCAATCTGGTTCAAAATTCTTTTAGTAGTAGAACCCATTAATACCAATCATTGATATAAGTATCATCGATAAGTGTTGCTTCGTTTTTGCCGAGATAAAGAGCGCAGAAGACGAAAAGTGAAATGATATTTGCTACTGATATTTTCAGTAAAAAACCATATATTAGGAATCACTCAGAAAAATTAATTTCGCATGTACCTAGTCTTAGAGTAAACAAAATAAAACTCAGTTTTCTCGGCTAAGACATGATGTATTTTAACTTCCATTTCTATCCGATGTTCATAATTAGCGTAAAATTGTCCATCGAATAATGTTACTCCGAGAAAGATCTAAAAAAAGTTTTTGATGTTCGAAGAACGTTATACAGGGGTTAACATTTTTTTGACTAAAAACAATGAAATTTAATACCCTAAAAATAGAATGTTCATGTTGGATACATGTTTTTTTTCTCAAAAATGTTAGATTCCCGAGAATGGTCTTCTCGGCATCACTCTTTTGAGGAGGCAACAGTCTTATGATTTTAATACATCGAAAGATTATAATTATGTGAAATATTTATGTTTTTAATAGCAACTCTAGTTTTCTTAGACGGTTGGTTGCCTGTGTAGCAGGTCCACGTTTTATATCCAAACAAACATGAAGTTCATGATTCCAAATTCCTTTGTTTTATAAAAAAAAACAAGACGCCATATGTCGAGCTTTTTTTAAAATATCGTCTCTAATCGCGGTAGTTCGAAACACCGAATAACAACCGCGGCCTAACAAAATACCGCGCAGTAGCCATTTCTATCAATTCACCTCTTTGTTTGGCATCCGTCAAGGTATAAAACAAACACAGAAAATTTTAAAGAACCTGAGTTTTCCAGAACTTTGACTCGAGTCAAATTTTCTCCCAACCCTATGCTCTTACAAATGTACAATCCATCTCCTTATGTTGACAATGTCCCAGTGTTATAAGTGTCAAAAACCTCAACATGTTTATGTCAAGTGTTTAACGTGCGGAAGAGAACCATGCAATTATTGTGCTGGTCCTAAACGTCCATTTTCATGCGCTGAAGCGCTCGTTAATAACAAGAAAACAAGAAAGTTGAAAATTAGTTTCGAACGTGTTCATAATGAGAAAATATCGGACGGTTACCGCTCAGTTTACCGAGATGATATTCCTCACAGTATTTCAGTGTTTTTTCACTCACCACTAATAACATAATTAAGTTCCCATGCTAATGGATGCCAGTGTGGCTGTCTTATACCATTGACTTTTAATGTAATCATTGCTACTGATCCAAATTGATTTTTTAATATTGGAAAAACAGTTTCATCAGCAGCATATATTGAACCACCTTCATAATTGTCTGGTTCGGATGCTGATAAATGAAATACATTTGCATGTTTTTGACTGCGAATAGTAGTAGAAGTATACTACAAAAAAGAAAGACAAAATTATAGTTCTTTCTTCTACCTTAGAATAATTTCTAATGACTTACTACTATTAAAAACATCAGTTGTACATAGTTTGTGAAAAACATTATCATCGCAGTAATTACGTTTTACGGGAATAGTCGATTTTATATCAAATCTCAATAGAATATTCGATAAATTGTTGAATTTATATAGTATTCTAAATTAAAACTATCGAAAAACACAAAATCAATTTTTGTACTGATTCGAACATGTGAACTTAGCTTTAATTAGATGCATCAGATTGGAAGTAAGGAGATAGAAAGAAAACAAAGCTTACGTGTGCGGTAAGGCCAATTTTTTCTAACTTGACAAAAAATGAAAATAAGTTGAAATCTTGATGCCCGCTACTGCGCATAGCATAAAACTCTAAAATATCATCAACACGTACACACCACTCAACGTTATCTCTGCTAGATGCACACTAACAATACTATAATTTAGTACTTTTCATAGTACTAACACGAATATGTGCTATGATCACATTATTACGTCTTATGAAGCCTATTGCATTTTTTTGTCACATCTCTCTCTCATATTTCTACCTACAATGCCTATTGCGTTTCACAGGAATAGACAAGGTATTATCTTTAGTATAAACTGACAACAATAACAAATAATAAATAAACAAGCGACAGAAGCAACATTTCAGAGATTAAGAGCATCACTAACGTAAGTGTGCATCTTAAATCGTGTTAATGTATGTCAGTTACCCATTATGTTTAAGGATCCCCCTATTAAAAAACGTGCTAAAAAGTGCTTTTTTTTCTGGGGTTATTAAGTGTACTGAATACAAAAAAGTACTTGTCAGCTACTCAATACCAACTTTATTTTTTTTCGTTGATATGAAACATCGATTTTGAGATATATACATAGTTGGATAGCTCAAATTTTCTGTCGACTTACGAATGGCATATGCATTCACATGAGTGAATTTTTTCCTCATACTTCTTATCTCTAAAAAACGAGGGAAAAAAAATCATGAAAGGCTTTTTTGTAGTTAAGCGGAAAAATCCTGAAAGTCACGCATAACGAGTCAGTTTTTCCACCGGACCTTCAGCATTTTTCAGCTCTAGCTTCATTAAATTAAATAACTAAGTAGAACAATGAACATACATTTCATAAACAGATAGGACAAAAGTTAGATTATCACAAAAGTAGAATACACATTTAGGAGACCGTAGAACAAAACTGAATACGAAAAAAGAAAAAGGAAAAAAAGATCTTTAACAATACAAATTGTTTTATCATTATTTTCTTTATTCGATTTTTCTAGTTTTTGCAAATTGGAAATTAAATAGAAAGAAACTAAATGAGAATTTTCCATAGAGTTTAAAAAGGTAGAGGAAAATTCAGCTACTGCCAAAATTTCTTCTAATTCAAAACCAGGAATCGGGTTAAAGCAGGCCTTACCGGCACACCAAGAGGTGAATTTTTCGAAAATTGATCTGCTCTTGACAAAACGTTTAGATTTGTGCAGGATAATAGAATATTCTTTATCCAGCCATACAGTCCTGTTTTCGTTTAAGATAGTTTGCTCGAACAATAACTGTCCGTCCGTAGATTCGGACAGTGCTCGCCAAAAACGTTCCCAATAACTGAAACACCTATGCCCGAGAGAAATTTCGTCCAGTACAAAAGAAAAAAAGGAGTCGGACCACTGAAGTTACAATAAATATGTTTTAGACATGTAAAGTAAACATGTGATAGATCTGGTTGTTGTTTATGTGTAAAGAGAGGGAAAATAGCAAACAACCAAGTAAACATTGGTAGAACATAGCAAGAAAAGAGAGCGTGTTTTAACTCAAAAGAAGTAGTACCGTTTATGCGGCAAGAAATTACCATCTTTACTCTCTGTTTGATTATTTGTACTGTTTTAATCCCTACTTCGTTGCCTGTTTGTCCGACGTAAATGTTAGCACAGTCTTTGCATTCTACACAATAAACAACTTCATCTTTTCTATGATCTTTTCCTTTGTATTTGTATGAGAAACTGCTTCCCGGTGCCTGATACTTTCGAAATCCAAATTCTATATTTGTAATACCAAAGGATGGGGTGCAATAAGAATGAGGATCGGCCCCATTTCAGATCTTCTCGAAAGGTATCTAGAATGAAAGAGCATACAATTTTATGGGGTTCTATACCCTTGGTTCCCCTTCGGACCTCATATGTGTCAGAAAAT